TTTCCATCGTAGTATCAAAGACGAGGAGTTGAAATGCATCAATCACAAGTTTTACTCTGCCTCCATCCAAATATACATCTTGTACCACTTCGATGGCCTCCCCAATACTTCTAAAGCTTGTCTTGGCCCAAAAATGTAGCGGAATCCCCATTATTCTCACCCAAAACGTTAGTGCATAAGGATATTTTGGTTCCATCAGTGGCTCCCATCGGACCAAAACCACCATCCACCCATCAAAGTAATACGGGGCCATGTGTAGAACCGCCCTGATGTCATCTTCATTGTTGAAATCAAACTGAAACCGGCCGTACCCAAATCCGCTCCAGCCACTCTATCCTCCACCTTCCAAATCCCGGGGAGCATGTACAGTAGGGAGTTCATATCCTGGATCACTGGATTCATGCATCTCCCAATCAGGGTCCGCAAATACCCCCTAATCAACTCCGAGTTATCAAACCGTGGAACTGTGATCTTCAGCCGTGGAGCCAGCGAGGCCTTTCCCTTGTTACTTTCACTTGCAGAGCCCAACAAGCCTGATTTAGGCATAGTGACAACCAAAGAGAAAATTAAATTAGTCCAAGGATTAGGTATAGTGTGAGAAGAGAAGCGGATGCTCAAAACCAGGCACATGAGTAATCTATTTATACTATCCCTATCCTTAACAGTCCCCTAGCTAACACAATCAGAGATGTATATGATTATGATTCCACAATAATATCCTGTAACTCATGCATATGATTCCACAATAATATCCCAAACTTTCCATTTTCTCCTATAATTTCCACAATCAAATCTCATCTTTACCTATCTCCATTTCCATTTCTGTCCCAGCTGAAACTGCATTGACCTCTCAGATATGTTAACCCCCAAAGTAAGTTGTAAACAAACAGCAAATTCTAAGTTTAACACCACAAGATCTATGAATTGAGGTCGATCACCCTTATTTAATCCCCAAAAGCTCTGATTTCCTTGTATCTATGTTCGAGATCTGAAATGGGACATTATAACCATGGTAATTAATTTATGAAAAAAGAATGATATGAACAATAGTAATTAAGAACCATATTATCCAGTAATAGAGTAATATATCCCGAATTATCCTGCGCAAGCATAAAAATTCCCAACTTGGAGAGATACGGATTTAATTTTTTTTAGACCATAGCAGGTTCACCATCCAATGGATAATAAAATCTGTTACAAGATATCCTTTGTACGCTTTCAAAATAAACATGAACCATAGAAGATACAGACAGTTAATCTTACCCTTTTCCTTCCTTGATTTCATTGAGCCGAGATCACCATTGATTCCATGATAATATGTGTCTTCCTCATCCGATCCCAAACGTTGAGCTACAATTTGCAGCGGTCTCTTGGGAACACCAGCAGCGATTAAATAGGATATCCTCCAAAGTAATCCCATGTTCCCCATCACGATCCTGAAGTTTCTAGAGATTTGCACCGAACATGAGGTTCCTGACCCCCACGGCCCTGAAGCCTTCAAAAGTCTCTGGTGATATCCATTTCTTTCAGTCCGCTGCTCACTGCGAAGCCACCTCGAAGAGATTCCGATCTGACCGAAACTACCGGAGAGGACATCGTGAATGTAAAACCATTCACCAGAGCATGGATCCGAACCAAAAATTAGCCCTCTCTTCCCCAAGAACCATCGCGAATTCCGCCTTAATCTAACCCCAAGACAGTACTCACCCTTAACAAAAAAACCAATAATTTACCATACAAATTCCACTCGACCGACCAATTTCAGTCCAAAACACAACCATGAAAACCCTAAATCCTCATCTTCATCGCCCCCCTTTTTTTAGAGAGAAAGCATTAAATATTACACTTCTAAAATCACCCGAATTAGATATTATTCAGTCATCTATGAATATAATTTTTAAAGAACTATTTTACAATAACCATTAAAAGTATAATTTAAGCTCCGATTAGTAACACATTTTTTCTACTGCAGAATTGTAGAATGGCGGAAAAATGAGTTCCGAAATAATTTATTGCAGGTTGCAGGATACATTTTTTTAACACGATTGGATAAATTATACAGAATGGTAGAATTACGAAATATAATTATTTAAAAATGTTTTTTTATCATATATCATAAAAATTAAAATATTAATAATTATATTAACTATTATAAAATAATATAATTTTATTATAATTTTTTTAAAAATATGTAAAAATTTAAAAATATTGCAAAACTTAAATAATAAATATTTCATCGTTCTGCAAGGTTTACTAATCCGAGTCTTAAATGATAACTTGACACATCAAATAGCCGTGTTGATATTTTCGTCGTGTGGAATTTTCTTAAACTTGTTTGTATCTCATTTTTGAACCGATTGGACTTTATCAAGTTTCTGATGTAACAAATAATAGCTTTCATGGGGTTAACACAAAAAATAAGGAGTTAGATTGGTTCCGAGCAAACGTTTGATAACAATTACGAAATTGTTTTATATTACTTCGTACCTTTCCAAATTACTCAAAATCAAAATCTCATTGTCTTTAGTGATCCCATGTGAGTAATTTAAAAAACAAACAAAACTTAGAAGAAAAGAAAACTGATTTTAAAACCAGTATATATATATATATATATGAAATAAATTTATAAAAATCCAAACTTTTATATCATAATCACAAAATATATAAACAAATTTAATAATTTTTTATTAATATTCATTATTTGCTTCTCTTTGTTTTATAATTATAAAGTTTCTAAACCAAAACTATCGCAATAAAAGTTTCTTCAATCACTATATCTAAAAACTGAAATTCTCTCTAACATTAATTTCTTAAGAAAAATTATTAATTGAAATCATAACTTTCATCGATTCAAACAAAAAATTAAGAAATAAATGTAAGTATTTTACAAATTATTTTTAATATTTTTTCATTATAAATATGTTGAACTTATGACTTTTTGTATTTTAGCTTTGATGTTTTTATAGATATATATATATTTTTATCATATTAATTTATTATTTAATCGCTATTACTTTTTAATTAACCAATCATAAATATCTTGCAAATGTTTTGTTCTCAACCATTGTGTCAGTATGAATGACTCAATAAAGATTAATACTGTCTTATTCAATATATTATAAAATTATTCAAAATAAACTTGATATACTATCACATGGTATTTTAACGTTATTTTTAAAAATTACTTTGATATGCTGTTATATGACATTTCAAAATTTGACATGTATCATAAATTCATTTTACGAATTTACAATTGAAAGAAAAAATGGTCAACAAAAAAGAATACAAAATTCAACTAAACTAAACAAAAATAATAAAGATAATTAAGTATAATAATAAAACCAATCAAACTATTACAATAATCTATAAATAGTAAAAAGAATACAACAATCTACAAATACAACTCCATTTTATTATTATATGAAATTTCAATAGAATATATACTATATACATTAAACTACCATAAGATTCATTTCTCCAATCAACTGTAAACAAACTTTGTCTGAAAATCACATTCATATTCCCTCAAGAACAGAACACCAACTACCCAATCACTTTTAGCATCGATCAAATACTACAAGAAAATAACTATACCTTTAAATATATGATTAACTTATACCTCATTTATCATAATATGGATGACACAACATCAAATCCATTCAAGAGTTTAATAAAATTTATTAAGAACGTCTGACTAGATAGCACATAATGCCTCAAAGTCTTTCTTTTTTAACTTAAAAGATTTCAACACATATGCATCAAGAAAGATGGATGATAGAGAGAACATAGACACAAGCTACACAAGAATAATATGCCAATTGTGCTATATTTTTTGATAATCTACAATAGGCAAAATATATTTAACACATTATTTTGCCACCACAAATTTCACCACAAATATATTTCAAATTAGTTATACTACAAAATACCATGACTTTATTGTCAAAGATAAATAATTTAATATTTTATATGCTTACAAAAAATAAAAATAAAACTTTTTATTCAATATAAATATTACTATTTCATCAATCTTTCAATACAAATGTTAAAACTACAGTATATTTATAAATTAAAAGTTAATATTTACCAACACACTTTACGTAACAAATAATATAAAATAAACTTTAAAATTAAATTATTCAAATTATCATAAAATTTTGCAACACATTGATCTTCTTCTAATCACTATTAAGATCATACTCTAAGTTTCCTCAGTTATTAAGTCTTTATTTGGCCCCAAAAATCATGATACGCTGTGTTCGTTTTTTCTTTCCGTTCGTGAAACTTTAACTATTAACGGAAGGACATAGGTAAAGTATAACAAAAAATTAGGCTAACTTAATAAGAAGATTGAAAAAGAGGCAAATTAAGAAAGAACGATGGCAAAAAAGAGTTCTTCTAAGTTTACGTAAAGCAATTCCCTTGTTGGTAACAAAGGAGGCACGACTCTGAATGTTAGGTAGAGCAATTAGCTTGAAAATAATCTACACAAATTAAAATCACAAATCTTCGTTCGTTCTAGATGAAAAATATGTCCATGACCATTTTCTTCAAGTAGACAACTACATATTTTAACACTAAATGAAAATGAGAATTATGAAGGGTTAATGGTCAAATTAATTATCACAACTGAGAAAACTGAAAGTATGATCTTAGTGACTTTTCAAAGTAGGGTAATGAATTTGGTCAAGTGGGATAACTATTTGAGAGACATGGGTATAACCTGTTTATTTTTGTCATAATATGTGAGTTTAACACCTTTAAAAAGGTATCTAATAATTTTTTAGTGGTTAAAGAAGTCCCTAAGAAAGTCAGTTTTTTTCTTTTTTTGTTCAAACCCTAAGAAAGTCACTTTAATACGTCTTCCCCCCCCCCCCACTTTAAAACATTCGCGTAGGGATATAAATAAAAGCACCGGATCAAGAAGTTTACAAAGAGAGCAAATTAAAAAAAAAAAAAAGAAGTTTAGCAGGTTAACAAAGAGAGAAAAAAAGATGGCAATGAAGGGTCCTTTGAATTTGAAGTTCTTGCTTCTAGTTGTTCTTTTGGTCCTATCATGTGTTCTTGCTTCTCCACAAGAGTTACTCTCACTGAGCGGTTAGTGGTTGTCCAATTACGTAGCAAATAATTATGAAAATATGTGTAACTGTGTAAGTTCGGTATTTATAAAACACCAATATGTCTCAGAACTAAATTACTCCATTCAAATAACTCTTTGTCTATACAGTTGTTTATTGTTAAGCACGTTCAATCTCATTTATTTCTTAAAATCAAATAGATTGTCGAATATAGAAAAATGATGTAGATAATTTAGAGTTTAGTTTTTTTTCCAGTTATATGTATTTTATAGATAACATACGTACTGTTATTAATCGGTTTGGATTCAGTATGACTAGGTTTAATACTATCTCGATTAAGCTATATTTTGCTTTTTTTCTTTTAATTATTGTTTCCTTATGTTAATAACTTTTACGCATTAAAAACAAACTATTTCTTTTACTATAAATAAAATAGGGTGGAGAAGGAAGATGAGTGACGTACGGCCATCAACCAGTAAACCAGCTGGCAAGGGAAAAAGCGGATAAGGCCGTCTCTTGTGGACGTTATACGAGGATCGCCGGTTGCAAAATCATATTAAATGGCTTCATTTTAGTCCCAATAATTCGAAGCTAATTATGAATACATTTCACTAATTAAGAACATACTATACTTTTCTGTGTTAAAGTACTGACAAAATACCTTTCATTCGTATGCTTTTGCAAAAAGTAAAACAAAACTATTTTTTGATTTTCTTAATCTTGCCGTTTTAAACTCAAATGATGTTGTAATAACTTCGAAACAATTAAAGTATCTAAATACTTCTATTATACTCGTGTAAACTTTCCAAGATATATATTTTTACTATCCCATGAAATAAATTCTCCATAAATATCCGTTGCAAGAAATTTCAACGAAAATAAACTATTTCGACAGTCAATCGTTTATTGACGATACTGACATATATGTATATATATATATATGTGACATGTTTGTCAAATCACGAAAAATCGGAGAAAATATATCTGCATTTTTTTTTTTCATCACAAAACATCAAAACAACTTCGCTTTGTTTTTTTTATGTGGTATAAACTCATTCTTTGAAGACGAGTCTTTGGTTTTCTAAACTGGAAACATGTTCCTCACAAGTCTATTAAATCTTGTGGATCATGCAAATTTCTTTTGAAATGAAATCATTGAAGACAAAAGCAGTATTCGAAAATTATTACACCGTGCTAGTACTCTTTCAGTCAACGCTAGAATGGACTTACGATAGAACTAAATGCAAATTAGAAATTCTGTAAATTGTTATTCAGATGCGAATTCACTCAATTCGACTATTAAGTCTAAATTGCACCAAAAAGAGGAAATGGGTACTTAGCAAAATTAAAAATTTGTAGAGACCGAAACATCGAAGAAATTCGAATCTTAGAATTGGAGCGACGTAGCTTTGCGAGCCATAAGTATGGCAAAAAATAATAAAAATAATCAATTAAAAAGAAAAAAGAAAATTGGTCTGACTTCTGACTTCTGAGGTTAGCTAGCTGGATGTTTTAAACCGATTAGACTTTGTCAAAAATTTCTAAAAGCCATCGTGGGTTTTGCTCCGAAACTAATAGTATTTGTCTATTATATTTGATAATGCAATAAATATTTTGTTTGAAGTCTTTACTGATAAAGAGAGTGCCCCCGAAAATCATGTTATGCTGTCTTCGTCTTTTCTGTCCTTTCGTGGAACTTTACCATTCGTAGGGGGATTGAAGAAAAAGAGAGGTAAACTAATAGAGTTATATAAAAGAATTAGGCAAATTACAAAAAAGAGATTGAAAAAACAGAGAGGCAAATTAAGAAAGAAAGATGTCAAAAAATAGTTCTTCGAATTTTGGACTTGTGTTGTTGCTTTTGGTGGTTCTCTTGGTCCCATGCTCTATCGACATTGCTCTTGCTTCTCCAGAAGAGTTACTCCAGTTTACCGGTTAGTGCTTCCAATTAATTGACATATATCCTAATGACTTTCATAATTTTAGTAGCAAGTTTATGAAAACAATATGTGCATATTATCATAGTTGTCCATATTGTTAACCTTCACTATTCTTTTTTTTAATAGAACTTTCACTAATATATATATATACTAAACGAAATAATACAGGTCTTGAAATATCAGGAAAAATTATTTGCGTGCTGAATCCAAATTTTCACTACGTTTAAATTTGACTTGCTGTTTGTTTGAATATGAAAAAATAAAACCAAATCGATATTGTTTTCCTACTTTTTTTTTTTTTTAGTATGGGGTAGGGGTGGGCATTTCGGTTTTTGGTTTGGTTTCGGTTTGGTTTCTTCGGTTTTACGGTTTATCGGTTTTACGAAAATTCAAACCATATAAAAGCCATATATATTTCGGTTCTGTATGGTTTGGTTTTTTACGGTTCGATTTATTATGGTTTGGTTTCGGTTTTTTTAGAATTATATTTTTATGAAATTTTTTGATTCAAACTAATAGAAATAATAATAATAAATATGAGTGAAATAAAATAATAAATTCAAAAAATAGAATCTAAATCATAAAAAAATCATCAATAACGACAAATTTCAAAACAGAAAAATAAATAAATTATTAAATTTTTCATAATCAATAATTATAAAATAATAAACAAATATATATTAAAATTTAATACCTATAAGGCTATAACCTTGAAACTAGAACTAGAAAACTTGAATGTGAAGAAAAAAATAGTTAATTACGTTATTTTTTATTGAAAAATTAAGGTTTACTTTATTATTTTTATGTAGAATTCTTTTATAAATATTTTATTTTAAAAACCGAAAAAACCTTTTGGTTTGACGGTTTTTAACCAAACCAAACTTAAACCAAAGCTATAAAAAAATGATGGCCAAATGGATTTTTAGGTTTAACGATAACCAAACCATATCACTTTTTTCGGTTCGGTATGGTTTGGTTTTTTCGGTTATGGTTTTTGTGCCCACCCCTAGTATGGGGTGGTTTGGTTAAACCATATTAGGCATCTCTTTGTTTACTGCTAGACATACTATTTATGCTGTTATGTTAATTTTAATTAATATAGTTATATACACGTATTTTTCAAGGCAGTTCTCATATAATACCACAAAAAGTGTTTTCTAAAAAAAATATCATCACTAGTTTTGTTTTTCGACAATAACACAATTATTTATATAAAAATATACCACCAAAACTAAGCTAAACTTTAAATCCCCAAAACTAAACCATGAACCCTAAAATGTATACCCCTAAACCCTAAAAACTAAATCCTAAACCCAAATATTTAAATTTTAAATCCTTAAAATTCATTTTTTAATGTTGTAGAAGTTTTGGAATAAAAACCTAGTGATTGTATTATTGGAATAAGAACTTAATTTACTGGTATTTTATAATATTTTTATTTTTTCAAGACATGATTTTCAACTTTTTATTAATAATCTTTAAACAGAATGGAGAAGAAAGATGATGACGACATGCTCATCAAAAAGTGAGCGAGATAAAATCAATATTTCACCGTCGTCTTCTCCCTTGTCATCACCTTCGTCATTGTCCTTGCGTCGACGATCTTCAGGGCCATCACGTTTGTCAGAAGCACCATCGCCATGCTTTGGAAAAAGTTCATGAAAACGAATATAATTATAGATTAGTTCACAAATATATATGTAAGATGCAATCATTGTGATATTTGATTGCAGTCGTTGATAAACTATTGCAATAAACTTATTGCTACGTGATAACCTATTGCAATAAACTATTGCATAATCATTGAAATTTGTAGCCATTGTTTTGATAAAATGTCATATTGTGTTTTATGTGTTTTTCAGTTAAGTCATGTTAAGCTGGTTTCACACCAACTTTGCTATAATACATGATGAAGGCAAAGAAACTACCCAGCCCTCTTTCTTTTTTTTTTTTTTTTTTTTTTTTTTAAAACTACCAGCCCTCTTGTTCAGAATGGGGGTACAAGACAGAAAAGAGAAGAAAAACTGCTAATCACAGCCATGAATTATCTAGACGTAATCAACGGCATGCTTTTTTTTCTTTTTGGTCCAGTCTCAACGGCATGCTTAAACGCATAACAATAAAGTGATTAGAATATCTCAGTTTGAATTTTTTTGGATAATAAGGTAAAACAAACTACTCAATGAAATTCTTCAATCATATGCTATTAGCAACTAAAAAAAACCCATGAACCTTGGATCCATTTTCGTGAAAAATCAATTAGGATTTCTTTGAGAAAGTTTGCCATAATTACAAACCTCAACTGTTAAGATTCAAGCAACAAGGAGTAAACGGAAAGGAAAAGCCAAAGCTATAGAACAAAATTATGCTTTCTGAGAACAAATTTTTCAAAAAAATGCAAAAGACAAATATATTGCTGTTACAGATTTGCTTGCAACTAAGAAGTGAAATACATAGAATGAAAAATTCGACTGTAACATACTATCACGACATCATCATTTCAAATGAACAAGTAAAAAATGGATATCCCTCGTTTCCGTATCCATATATAGGAATGCGAATCAGGCTTAAATATCGGTTATAAAGAGAAGAAAAATAGAGAAGTATGTTCAAGAATCAGTTGCAAGGGAAGACTTCCCCACATCTTTTCAACTTATAGTATTCGGATGGGTCACACTAATTGTTGATAAGGCAAAAAAACATGCATGCACCAGACGCTTATAAGCAGGGGCGGAGCCAGTAAGGTGAGGGGGGGGGGGGGAGGTCAGCTGACGCCACCTAATTAAAAAGTCTCTTTATTTTTTTGGTTAAAATAGTTTATGACCCATTAAATTTTCTTAATTGACCCTATAAACAAAAAGAAAAAACATGAAAGAATAAATTGTATCTTCATTTTGGGCTCAATTTTAATTTCAGCCCACACAAAAATAATTCATCATTTTTATGGATTTTAATTAATTATTAGCTATTAAAACATTAAAACAGAAAAAAACTCAACAAATTCTTCCCTTTCATCATTAAATTTTTTTACATGTGTTTTTATATTTTTTATTTCTTATTGTCTATCAAAGAACTAAAACATCTCATATATTCACTTTTAATTTTGTTTTAATATTTTTGTAATTTATTTTAGTCTCTTTAGATTATGTTTTTTTTTTATCAAAATAGATATGATATGATTTAACTCATAAATATTAAGCTTTCTATTTATAATATATTCAAATACTTTTATTTTTTTAGTTTGTTACTTTCACAAAATAATTAATGGATAGATCATTGAAAGAAAAACTTCATAAATAAATGATACAAAAATATATTGGTGATTAGTTTTTTAAAAACTGTTTTTTTTTTCAAAAACGTTTTTTATTAAATAGTTTATATATATATATATACCTATTTTCAGTAATTTATAAACTACATCAAAAAACAAATTGACCCCAATAAAAAGTAATTCTGGCTCCACCATTGCTTATAAGCAAAGCCGTGCCAACCTTACTCGATACCATAAACAATTTTTTTTTAAATACCTTCATTTTTTTAATAATAATAAATAAAATATTACATAATAAATTCAATAAAATGAAACTAAATAAATTAAATTGTAGTTCTAAAACCCTTTATAAAAGAAACTAAATAAATCAAATTTTAGTTCTAAAACCTTTTTTCCAAAATTATTGACCAATTTTTTTTTTTATCAATTATAGATGAAAAATATTTTTAAAAATAATAAATAATTGAAAAGAAGAGAACAAAAAAAATATTTTAATTCTATCTAATTATTGGAGAAATATAGAATTTTTTTTACTAATAAACTTCTTAATGTTAGATCAGTGCAAGTAGAAAGATGGATAGAAAGAAATTATATGGTTTAATTTTTTTTCCTTACTCTAATTCTTTGATTTGTTTTGGGTCATTTCCTCTAATTAATAACAATTTGACTTATTGTTGTTAGTTTCTCTTTTGTAAACTCATATATGTATAAGCCTACATCCATGGTTGAGATTAATAGAATATAACTAATAATAAAAACAGATTAATAAACCTTTTTAAGAAAATTGCTGCCCTACGATTTTAAAAATAATTTGCTGCCCTAAACCAAAAAATCTTTTAAATACATATAAGCACGGCACCTTATAATGGATAAGAAGGACGGAACTACGTTTGGAGCAAACACATTTGTCAACTAGCTAGCTATTCGTTTGACATAATCTAGATACATATAGAATTATAGCCAATTTGTCAACTAACTATTCGTTTTGGTAATGCTATAACCATATGAAACAGGAAGCATACACTTTAATTTCTTTCTGCATTATGAACCTAGTTTTGAAACATTATGTCGAACACCAATGATTTGAAAAATCTAGTTAATCAGCGATTTTAAATTCTAACTAGCGATCCTAATATTTATTGTAGCCGGGATAAGCAGGCACGAGCTTCCCTAAATCTTGCTTTCTCTTTAATTTGTTGAATCTTGCCCTCAAAACAACCAAATTTCTCAAAAATGACAGATTCCACGTATAAGAGACACAAGCCCAACAACATTATTTGTTAATTCAAGTCTATGTAATGGGTCCATGTAAATTGGGGTTTTCTACCATGTTTTAGATTCATATAAATATGTTATGTTTTTTCTTAAATAAAAATATATACATATGTTATGTTAGGCATTGATGTAAACAACTTTGGTTGCCGATTGTGCAACTTTGGTTGCCGAGCTAATAATGGATTCTTTTATCAATATGAGAATGGGAAAGAATGTTGCACAATCGGCAACCAAAGTTCTTTACATCAATATTTAACAAAAGCTTGAAATACCGATCCAAGCAACTTCAGAAACGATCGAATTGATAAGCCTGTCTTCACCGTTCTGATTTGGTAGCCATATTTTGATTCTTATCGTAGAATTTTATTATATTTGTGATCGATATCAATGGATTAATTTATCCCATCAATGAATCAAAGGTTAACTGTGATTTTTTAGAAACTAAGTACCTCGTTTGGATTGCGTCAAACTTAAATGTGAAGTAAAAAAAAAAATCCATGCACCAAATCAGTACAACAATAATACAAATGTCTCTCCACGAGATGACACATCAGCTTTTTCAAGCTTTCTAAAATTGACACATCAATAAAAAAAATCACAATCAAATTAAAACATTAATACACATCACTCATTTCATTTATAAAAGCCCAAAAGATAAAATATACATATCCATCTACAAATCCAATTAAATCAACACTATATTATAAGAAATCAAGAGAACAAGAATTAATTTTATAACTAAATAGTTATTTGCATATTAATTAACAAATACAGTTATAACTTATAAGCATCAATAAGAAATATTATATATGACATTTAATTTTTTAGATCATCCTTTCATGTTTAGTCTAATTCGTGTCACTAATAAGTTTACCCATTTCATTTAAAATACAGTTTGTTAAAACGCTCATACGTACTATCCTCATTGCACTCTTAATTAAGTTGGCATGCTTTTATTACTAATCAACCCACTGGACACATAAGATGCATATCGTATATATCAATCTAAAAAAAAATCAAATACAACAAAAAGAAAATGCATGGGGATTTGCCATGCAAAGAAACATATGAACTTCTCTTAGCCACGTATTATATGTAGCCATATATGTGAAACTTAGGAAACGTGCGAGTCAAAATTTGAAATTTGTATTTATATGTACATATGATGACAAAAGCAGAAGTTTCATTAGAATGGACATGTCGTGTTTCTCTGCTAATTCTGCATCCTGCGTCCAAAGTTTACTCTTAGATATGCCCATTTTTATTTCGTAGCATCTTCTACCATACAGTCCATATACCCATTCTAATGGTCCAGCTGTGTTTTGGCAAAACAATTGTGAAATTGCATGTGTTTTGGCCGTAGTTGTTATGTTTAAGCGGTTATCACATAAAAGTTGTTGTGTTTAAATGAAAAACTAACTGCAGTTATGGTATTCAACCAGAAAACTTTAATCATCAAATACAATTTTAAAATTAGTAACTTGGAATAGGGAATATAAAGTTGTATACACGGTAAATAAGAAGTAATTATATACCAAGTTTCAAATTCTTTTCTTTTCATTAGAGTTTTAGAATCGAACAGAACTAGGATATATAATTTTTTACGCAAACACATCTCATTTGAATTATGAGATTTTGCTTAACGTACAAAGACCAATAATTAGTTTCCAAGACTCTAAGTAAAATGCTATATAAAACAATTTCATGGTGTCAGCTACTCATGTTTGTTAACGTGGCAAATACAAATCTCTTGATGGTTGATGCAGGCTAAGAGCTTCAGGGCAGACGAACTAATTGAGTTTTACAAGTTAATGATTGTTCTTCTATACTAATTTCTATTTTGTCATTTAATTTGTTAATTTTTCAAGTACTTAGATCATTTGCCATTTCATAAAAAAATAAAATAGTATGAACAACCAATCAAAATATTTAATTTTAGACATCAGTTAGAATATATTTTTACTCATTTCTGAATTATTTTAAAGGTAAATAAGTCAAGTGAAAAATGTAAAAAGAACCACAAAACAAAAACTTAGTCGAAGATATGAAAGTGAAAAATATTGAAGAAGAGATGCATTCGAGATTCAGAATATCTTTATAGTTCAGTAATGGAAATCATTGAGCAGCTTCAGAAATAGATATCAATTGCAGAAAGTTCTGATCTGAGTTTTATTTATCTCTTCATATTTTGGAAAGAAAATCTTTACGCCTTTTTGTATTTGCTTTAACGAGATTATGTCTCTATTAATCAATAAGTGCTGAAACTGTTTGTCAAGCAAGAGAAGTGGAAGAGTTATCTATTATTGGAGTTCAAAGTGTTGTGAGCAAATCTAATACAACAGAGTTTCTTAATGAAGAGAAGCCTTTTGTGATGGATGAGAGTGTCTTTGTATCTACAAGGTCGTACGAAACTATTGGAACAGAGGAGGAGAAGATGATCAATGAGACTCTGGAAGAAATTATTCCTCAAGAGATAGTTATAAAGATCAATCAAGAGACTAATATGTAACAAAGAACATGGTTTCTTGAGATTGAAGAACAAAAGATTCTGAATCTGGACCATCGCAATAATAAAAAAGTTACAAATGAAGCAAACTACCATTCAGTTGGATTTGTCTAGATTAAGCTTTAGATATATTCAAGAGAAAATTGCATAAGAGTCATTAGTTCTTATAAAATTCTTAATAAAGTGATACATCTTAGTGTTTTACAATTTTTTTTGTTATTAAAAGTCAATATTTCACAACATTCTATAAAGAAACCTGCAAAACATGTGACCATCATGATTTCAATAAGGTAGATTCTGAATACACGGACAATTTTTTAGAATTTGTATATCACTTAAGCTTGGTGTACAAGTACTTTATTTATATGTAAACTATTATATAAACCTTATTTGATTTTGAGTAGAATACAAAATATTAAATCAAATTTTTAAAAGCTACAAAAAGATAGGAGGAAGTCACTTGATCACTCCGAACGGAATAAGAGATTTTGAACCAAAAAAAACATTTTGACCTAGGGGTGGTCACTTCGGTTTTTGGTTTGGTTTCGGTTTGGTTTTTTCGGTTTTACGGTTTATCAGTTTTACGAAAATTCAAACCATATAAAAGTCATATATATTTCGGTTCGGTATGGTTTGATTTTTTACGGTTCGGTTTAATATGGTTTGATTTTGGTTTTTTTGGAATTATAATTTTGATTCAAACTAATGGAAAAAATAATAATAGATATGAGTAAAATAAAATAATAAGTTCAAAAAATAGAATCTAAATCATAAAAAAATTCATCAATAAGGACATATTTCAAAACAAATAAACAAATAAATTATCAAATCTTTCATAATCAATAACTATAAAACAATAAACAAATCTAGATTAAAATTTAATATATGTAACCTTGGAACTAGAACTAGAAGACATGAATGTGAAGAAAAATGAGTTAATCACGTTATTTTTTATTGAAAAGTTAAGATTTACTTTATTATTTATATGTATATATTTTTTATAAATATTATATTTTAAATTTATGCGTTAAGTTAGTAAATTATAAAGATAACTAAGCTCAATAATAAAATATGTACCTAAACTAAATTAAGAAACTAGAAAAATATAAATTATTTAAAATTTAGTTTAAAAACCAAAAAAACCTTTTGGTTTGACGGTTTTTAACCAAACCAAACCTAAATCAAAGCTATAAAAAAATAATGGCCAAATGGATTTTTAGGTTTAACCATAACCAAACCATATCACTTTTTTCGGTTCGGTATGGTTTGGTTTTTTTGGTTATGGTTTTTGTGCCCACCCCTATTTTGACCAATAGTTTATTCATTTCTAATCTATCTTTTAATTAAAACATAAAACTAAAATAAAATAAATATTTATTTAAAAAACATATATAAATACAGTATCCCGCAGCATAGCACGGGTTTAAACCTAGTATTTTTAAAATTAGGATACTATAATATAATGTCAATTCCTCTTTTTTGTCCGTGTTGACTAAGTAGTCCAAATTTGAGTCACCGAAAGAAGTCATGTTTTGCTACGCGTCTCTCTTTATCCTTATATGGAAGTTAGACTGTTCGCATAGAGATAATATGACGTGGCAAGTAAAAAATTGGTGACTAGAAAATTGGAGAGGTCTCTTTCGCTTTTTCTAACAAACTAATATCGGAGAGTCAAAACGGAACAGAGGACGACTTTTTGGTGGACGACTCTTGATTGTGGAGAGTCTATACAAATGTCTTTTTTTTTAAAAAAAAATACAATATATAAATAAGAGTGTCGGCAATTTGCAAATTTACAAAGTGAGGAAGACAGATGAGAAAGATGGGTCCACCGAATTTGAATCTTGTGCTCTTGCTTCTAATGATTCTTATGGTCTCGTGCTCTAATGAATGTATTGCGTCTCCACAATCATCAGGTAAGTCTCAATGATATATCCTGTGAAATGTTTATCAATGCTTCCTAGGCTCAAAGAAAGATAATATGTAGGTGGTGTTACTACCTCTGGTTTGACATCGAGTCTCAGTAAGGCATGACCTCATTTGCATGTGCGAACAATTTATTTGATTCTCGTCAAAAGTTTCATATTTCGTGATCCATTTACTGCTATGTCATAATTTAGAAACCTCATTTGGTATCTTTATTTCACCGGAAATCCACTACATATTATTTGAAAAGTAACATTATTGAAAATAGCTGACTTGTCAACACTACAGTCAAAGTTAGTGCTTTTAATTGATAACATGTAAATGTGACATATCAAATTTTCTAAAATAAATAAAATATTTTAATTGGTTGAATTAAAATTAAAAAACTTGTAGAATTAAAACATAAAAACACTAGATTATACTTATAACACTAAAATTAACAAATTTTAAATTAACAGAAAATAATTATTATTATGATTTTAATATTTTACATATATTCATAATTTCATAAAATACAATTAAAAAATGTTTTCAACAAATATATATATATATATATTTCATATGAAATCGAAAAAATAATACTAAATTATCCAATAGAAGTAAAAAATTTATATATTAATAATGTTTGAATTATGATATATTTTTATTTTAGAAAGTTATTAATTTAAAAAACATAGTAATAACATCTAAACAAGTATTAAATAAACAAATTATTAAATAATACAATCTTAACTATTATCTGAGAAGCATATTTAATAAAAAAATCTGATGCGTCATCACCTTAGCAAAAGTTAGTGTAAATTAATGGTGACATGGAATTGTGACATGGAAATATGACATGGCAAATTTCCTAAAATAAACAAAATTTTTTGATTGGTTGAATTATAATTAAATAAATTATAAAATTATAACATAAATACACTAGATTATAACACTAAAAAATTAATTATCAGAAAATAATAATTATTATGATTTCAATTTGTTTTTACATATATTCATAATAAATAGCATAAAATATGATTACAAAATTTTTTAACAAAGCCTAGGGTGGTCAAGGAGATATGTTTACAATCGTATATGGTAAATGAAGGATCCATGTGCTTGCAATTTCTTTTTGATCAAGGTGTTGAATCTTTTGATCGTATTTTTTCTATGGCTTTGTTGTTAGTCTTCGTTTTGATTTTGGTTTAGAAAAAGTCTAGGTTTTGTTTTTGTTTTTAGTATCATTTTCATATTACTTTTTTAGGAAAAAAATTTACAAGTCGTTAAAAAAAATATTGAATCATAATGTAAGAATGTCAAGTTTTCCTAAAAAAATATTACTTTGTACAATGACAATTGTAACTGAAGTTAAAGGGCAAGCAAAATTTGGAAATTGGTAAAAAAAAAATGAACTTTGAACGATAATGGTTGGAAATACTAAAAGATAAAGAAAAATAAATGGCTAAGTATGAAAATTGATTTATTATTATTTTTTGAAAGTAAGGGAGACATGATTTTGTCTAAAAAAAGAGTGACATAATTATTTATAAGAATAAAAATAAAAGAAACATAAGTATTATAAGAAGGGTTTAGTAGAATAGATCAACAAGATAAGTCAAAAATAACCAAACTTATTTTGCACTCAATATCATAGTAAGATGGACAAATTACATGGCTATTTAGTTGAGAAGGATATCATAGATGATCAAAAGATATTAAGTTATACCAATGATCATATAAAGATACAAAGACTGAGAAAGAAATATGATATTCATGGAAGAATTAGTAAGGAGAGCAGCTAAATTATGTTCATTAGAAGATAATATAATTTTGAAGAATATATTGTGAATAAAAGAAAATAAATGTAAACAAATTCAAATATAAATAGATAACATATCAGTTTTGAGTGAGGTTTTATGAATAAATGACGTATTTAAATTATAAAAACTTAAAAAAATAAATAGATATATTTTTTTAATAAAGTATAAATAAATTAGATGATGTAAAAGAGTTGGGAAGAGATGTAAATTAAACAAAAATATATAATTACATTCTAATTTGATCTATTATTTTATTGAAAATAATAATTGTTTTCAAAATCTCATATCATCGTACAATATAATAATAATAATAATAATAATATCAAAAATTTATTAATTATATTTAATTTAATTTTAGATAAACTATTTATTTCTGTATCTATTTTTATTTATTAGAACATGATAAACATTTATAAAATAAAATATAAAAATAATTCCGCAATTTCGCCTGGGTATACACCTAGTTTATCTTATAAAAATGCTATATTAATCATATCCTTTTCCTTATGAGTTTTTATTTTATTTTAATAACACTTTGAATTTTGGTAGACGTGTTGAAATTTTTATCGTGGAATTTTTCCATCATTTTCTTTTTGTTGAATCTCATCCTTTAACCGTATCCCCTGTTTGGACCTTGTCAAATTCCAACAAATGTTTTGATAATGCTGCAATAAATGTTTTGATAATGCAATAAATGTTTTGACTAAACCATTCACATAGTGACATAGTTACATAAATAAGAGTACTGAATCAAAAGGTTTAGTAAACGAAACAGATATGGCGAAGAAGTTGGGAAATGTATTCTTGTTCCTTGTGGTTCTTTTGGCTTCGTGTTCCATCAACTGTGTTTTTTCTTCTCCACAAGAGTCACTCCCATTAATCGGTTAGTGATTTGTTCTGATAATTGTCTCTCAATTATTTTTTTAAAAAATCATTAGTTTACATAATTTTACGATTACGAGTACTTTTACCTAGAAATATATAGAAAGGGTGCTGAATAAATTTTTGGCCCAGTTTAAGTTTGATTTGTTGTTTGGTTGGAGGATATAACAAAATAATACCAAACTGACTCTTTTTCAGTTTAGTTTCAAATTATATATGGGTTGCCTAGTAAACCAACATAGGCACCCTTTTATTACTAATGATAGTAAGTTTAGAGGTCTTATGCTAATTTAAAATAAATATTTATACAATTTGTAATGATTTGATTCTTATCTTATATTTTATTCGTTGTCTTTGTCATTTTTTTTTCCTTGTGATTTAAAACTAGAATTGAGAAGAAAAATGATTATAGTAGGTCCATCAACAAGCCGCCGAGCTAATAAAAGAGATATACCACCTTTGCCACCACCAGATGGTTCATCGTCTCCTCCAGCCTCACCACTTTTGCCACCACCAATAGATTCGTTGTCTCATCCAGTGTCATCACCTTTGCCACCACAAGTAGGTTCATCGTCTCCTACAGTGTTTCCATCTTTGCCACCACCAGTAGGTTCATCATCGTCTCCTTCATTGTCACCACCTTTGCTACCACCAGCACGGTAAACAACAATTCTTGAAAAAAGTATGTTGTAAATTTACAACCATTTGTTTCTGCAAATTTGATAAGTCTTACATACATTTTACTTAAAATATCATAGTTGGTTTTATATTAATGAGGAAGTTCTGTTATTAAATAATTGTTTTCTCAAATTGTAATTAAACAAACAAAATTTAAAGAACAGATGTTAATTATGTTCAAAAAAAAAGTAGTGATGTCGAACGTTATACACCGGTCCGAGTCGTAATTATTTTCTCGAGTCCGGCTCGAGTTGAAATAAATTGACCAGAGCTAAATTTGTTTGAAATCCGATCCTAATTAGTTCAGGTTAGGTCCAAGCCTAATTAAAAAAAATAGTAAATCTCAAACACAAAAAGAAAGAAATGATAAATTGAGAATAATTGATGAAATAGAGAATATTGTTTTTGGTCCGACGAGTAGCTAGACATAGGTCCGATTGGCCCTCAAATCGAAAATGGATGAGATTTGGCTCTAAAAGCACAATACTTTTTTTCTGATAACCGGGGTGATCCAGGTTTTTAACATTCGATCAATTCTCCTAATAAATGTAACTGTCAAGTAGCATATTCATCGGGTTTTTAATCGGCCTCGTACATGGTACTATTTCGACTGACTAAGTAAGAGTAATTTTAATAACTAGAGTTTGGACCGCGCAATATTTGATTTAATCTATAATTAGTTTTATATATTTTATTTTATATAATTATGTTTATTTATATTTAAGTTTGTATTCGAAATTGCCATTTGTTTGACTAAATAAATACTAAAATGTACTAACTTTTTTAGTTTATTTCTATGAATTTTTAATTTTTTTGTAATTATTGTTAAATTAATTTAGCTGGTTAAACGAAAACCTTATTCTCATGTCTAAATGAATTAGCAAACCGTTGAAGAGGATTGTATATCTATTTGCAGGGCCCATTTAATAAGTTAACTCTATCTCACTCTTTTGGCCCATTTCTGGACTCCTCCTCTCATCTCTCTTGTGTGTTTTGTGACGACATTTTTTCGGTGGTTTTATCTTCTGTTTTGTCTCTCACATCATTACTGAAGAACATGCTGGATCCTTAATACACCGGCTGGGGAGATGGTTTTGTAGGAGTGTAATTAGATGGATGTTAAAACGTCTGAACATTTGAAGATAGTTCTCGGGTAGGTAAAATTTTCCCAACCTCAATTTTGTTTTCTTCTCTGTTCATCGATGAAGTTTCAAATTCGGGTCACTAAATAAATGAATGATTTACTAATTATCAAATTTATCAAAATTTACAAATTTTCTTTCAGTAATGCTTATTTGAATGTTCGATTTCCCTAATTTTCAATTCTGTTTTTTTTTTTATTTTCTGGTTTGCACTGTCTCAATTTGCTTGTATTTCAGAAATATAATTGGCGAAATTTGGTAGAAAAGGGTGTAAGAGACACTACTAGGCTATTAATTAGCGAATCTGTATTAATAATTTGATTTAATTTTTTGGCTAATATCTTTTAAATTATTAAAACTATAATATATTGATAGAAATTTTCTTTTATATAAAAAATTAAAACATAATATATAGTATTTTCTATTGTTGTTTATAAAATTATAAATCTTATTAAGTAAAATCATAATAATGATACCTAACAAATTATCTAACTTCAATATGCATATGTTTGATTTAGAAAATAATTTTCTTACTAAATTTTTGGTGTTTTGTTTTGTTTTGTTTGGTATCCTTAAGATTTCTATGGTTCTTTTTTTTAAAAGGTTTATATGTTTAAATATTTAGTTTCTTTACTAAATGTCTCACTAATATTGTGTACATATACATATATAATATATGATATATGTTGATTCAGATTTGCTTTTGTTAGTAAGCTATACTAATCGTGTAAAGCTACTTTTTGCTTCTCCACCAGATCTTCTATGAATTTTAGGTTATATCTCTATTCAGTTTATAAGATCTGTTTTATTTGCAGTCAACTATTTGCTAATATTTATTTTTAAACATGTAAAATGATGTTGAAACTTCACATTATCACTGTTCTTTTTTATCTTTTGTGTGTTTATTCATGTTTTGATTTGAGTATTTTATCTTCATATATTCCCATTTGAATTTGATTCATAACTTTGTCATATTATATTATTTAAATAAAATTTTAGAGGATGTTGCTCATGTGTTGTTCATGTTGACTAAGTTATAAGCAGTAAATATGTATACAAATTAGACTTTATTACTTATTATATTTTGAATGTAAAGTTACTTGTGTAGTATTTTACTTTGTTAATTTTCCAACCAGACGCAACTAAGGTATTAATCTTTGTAAATTGAAATAATATGTTTGATTTAGAAACTTGTGTAACCTATTAAAATTTTATATGGTTATTCATAGTCAACACCAATATTTTAGAAATCATGAATGTTTTTGGAACTATATTTCAAACTAATTTTCTTCTTAGATTTTGTTTTTTGTTATTTTAAATATCTTCGATGATAATTTTATATTTTATTTTAATTATCTAATTTTCTGCAGTTTTGATATACTTAAAACATATATATTTTTAATTAATCTCTTTTGTTATTGATTTTTCAAATATGTAGCATATATATTAATCTAATATCTTTTACATAAATACTTTTTCTTTGTTAAATTTACTTTTTAAATTAATTAAAATGCTATTTTGATATGCTATAACTGATTATTCTAAATTTTAAGTGAACTTCTCTCAAAAGCTTATACCATCATTTGCTTTTTTTTTTATTTAATTATGGTTTTAAATACAGTTTTTAATAATTTTGTTCAATATATATGATTTTTCTTTCATAATCTATTTATATGTTAATTTATCCTTTAATTGTTAATAGAAAAATAAGATCTATTTTCAAAACTCTTTTATATTAATAACTAACTTAAAATTTGGAAACTTTCCTTATAACAACAAAAAAAAATTAATTAAAATTTAGAAATTTTCCTTATAACAATTAAAACAAATTAATTAATTTTAATATACAATATATAATTAACTAAAAATAATGATAATGTGTACCAATATAATTGAATCTTTAAATCCTATGTAGACACCCTTAGAGGCATTTAGCATCAACTTTTATTACTAATAGATTATTCCATAGGGAATTGATTCCCAACCTAAATCATTAATATAATTTCTTCTCAAATAAAAACTATTAGATTAATACTATTTATTATTATTATATTTGTATATACAATTTTCTATGGTTATTAATGTTTAATTATTTCTCTTATCAGTATTAGATTGTATATAGTATGCTTTTATACTTGTACATATATTTTGGTTAAGGACTCTCTAATATCCAGTTTGTAGATGTAATTATTTTTAGTTTAGTTGCTGGTTTACTGTATATATACTCTGTAACATATTTTTTATTCATCAATGAGAATAACAGTTTTACACTTCTTCTTTCTCGTTTCTCTCTTACGCGTGAAACACTAAAATGGTATCAGAGTATTCTCTGCTCGTTTTCTTCTGATTCTCCTTTGATTCATAGTTTCTTAGCTCGATTCATGCAATTTCCAGCAATTTGATCTCGATTTTGTGTTCGATTGAGCTCTGAGGCGCCCAAATGTGAGCTGCTTAGAGTTTTGATCTTCATTCTATGATTCGATCTGCAATAATGGTGAAACAAGGCAAGAAATCTCATGGTCAACATCACTCGTCGACACCAGAAAAATCACCGATGAAGACTCGCGCTGCATCTCACCATGGATCCTCTCTCTCGATTGATTATGAAATCGTGATCACTCCGCATCCGAATTTCATGGCTAATCGGAACAAACCTCGACCTAACTCTGATGGCATGGATTCGTTCGACATGGTTCATAGTCCGTTCTTCCTCCACTCTGATGATCATCCAGGTATGTGTATCGTCTCTCATATTCTCGATGGAACAAACTACAACACCTGGTTAATTGCTATGTGTATGAGCTTGGACGCAAAGAATAAGATTATAGCTTTGTCGATGGTTCGCTTCCTAGACCTGAGATAGATGATAGTTCTTTTAAGTTCTGGAGCCGATCCAACAGTATGGTCAAAGCTTGGATCCTGAATGTTGTGAACAAAGAAATCTACAATAGTATTCTCTACTATGATGATGCTGCTGAAATGTGGACAGATTTAAACACAAGATTTAGGGTCAGTAATCTTCCACGGAAGTATCAGCTTGAACAGTCTATTATGACTCTCAAGCAAGGAAATCTCGAACTGTCTGCTTACTACACTAAGAAGAAGACTCTTTGGGAGCAACTAGCTAATACCAAGAGTTCGACTGTGAAGAGGTGTAACTGCGATCATGTTCAAAAGCTGTTGGAAGAAGCTGAAACCAGTCGCATTATTCAGTTCCTTATGGGACTCAATGACACATTTGCTAACATTCAGGGCTAAATATTGAACATGAAGCCAAGACCAGGACTCACTGCAATCTATAATATGCTTGATCAGGACGAAAGTCAGCGTCTCGTTGGAGGAACCTCGCAAAAGTCTTTCTTCAATCCTGCTGCTGCTTTTCAAGTTGAAACTTATGCTGTTTCTAATCAGTCTCAGATTCTCCTAGCTCAAGACGTTTATCAGAAACTGAAATGCTCTCACTATCACAAACATAGTCACACTGCTGATAAATGCTACAAATTGCACGGGTACTGTAATGACCCTGATAAGTGATGCGGATGGCTGGTCACAAGTAGGATAGTCAGCGACCTGTCGGAGTAAGAGTTGTCCCGTGGCTATTTTGTCTTTATAGATCCAAAGTCTTTTATTTCGTCTTTATAGATTAATAGATGAGGACGAATCTGGTCAAGCTATTTCGTCTTTATTGATTAGCGGATAAGTATGAATCTGCCCAGCAGCTATTACGTCTTTATAGATGAAGGGATAAACATGAAGCTGGTTAAGGAGCTGTTTCGTCTTTATTGATTTGTGGATAAGCATGGACTACTGTTTCGTCTTTATAGATGAATGGATAAGCATGAAGCTGGCCAGTGAGCTATGAGAGGATAGGATAGGATAGGATCAAGAGTGGATAGGATAGGATAAGAACAAAGGTGGATAGGATTGATGACTGACCTATGTGCGAGTTCTAAATGGCAACATAATGGGGTAG